GTTAGTGTTGATGTGAAGGATTCTCATCTAACATGTCGGGAAAGATAGAGCATCCTTCTTGTTGGCACTAATTTAACGTCAAGTCCACAAGGTGATGTGTTATCGGTTTTTCCATATGTCACTTTTTCTTATCGAGGAGATTAAATTATTTTTAAAATTAAATTTATCGAGAAGAGTAAATCGTTCTTAAAATCAAATCTATACTTATTTTGGAATGATCGTAGGAAGAGAGAATAATTGAAAATAAGAGATATATTAACTAATAACTTTTATTTATTATAATTACTTAATAATCTCTCAAAGCCTATAATTTTCCATTGAATTCATTCTCTTGAATTTTTAATATATTATATTTATTTTAATTTATAAAAAATCAAATCAAATCGAAATTCTAACTTTAGTAAAAGGATAGGCTTCTGACTTTAGTAAAAAAATAGACTCCTTTTCTAAATTTAAATTTCAGTGAGTCATTTATAATTCAAATGTGTCGGGAATCAAATAACGATGAGTTAGAATCAAGCTAATCGAAGTTAACATACATCATATTTATCACTAACTCAATTCAAAAGTTTAATTTTTTAGATTATTTATTCACTCTAATTTGATTCTATGGAGTTCTTACATATATGAATTAACCCGATATATATAGTATAACTCTTTCAAATGAATATAAGCCAAATATCTTTCTTTTTTATCAATGTGTGTGAATATTATATTATGTTTTGATGATAATTTAAGGTATAGAACAAATGAAAGGGTCAATTAGAATTATATTTGGATTGGTCATATTTAGTGATACAAGAAGAAAAAGATTTTAATCGAGTTCGATTTTTTGTATTCTCTCTGATGCTCCACCATAAAAGAAAAAAAAAATCTTTATTTTTCTACGATCTAATACGATACATCTTCTTCTTTTTATTTATGCATTAATACATAATCAATCCAAAATCAAAATGTCATTTCATGATCGATCCAACCGAAAGCTAATCTAACCCCAAACGTGCCACATTGTCACCACCATAATACATTATATATATATATATATATATATATATATATATACAAAAGAACAAACAGTTTGTATTCGATGGGGTCGGACATTATGTTAGTCTTCTGACACGATTTGCACCCTAATTAGCCCAACAGTTCATCACGTCACACAATCTTATCCCTTTCATCGATCTTGAATAGTCATTAATGGTACGTCAGTCTTTTCATTTCTCTTCTCTCTCTACGATGATGAAGATGACACTACGATGCACAGTCTAATATGGCGTTGTCATCCTGAATAGACTCCTCAGTGGAACTGAAAACACGTATGTCCACGCCCATCAACTCAAAAAAGAAAAGAGAGAAAAGCATGCAAACGACATAAAGGTGGCCACTCGCAGTTGGATGTGGCATCACACACCGAAGAACATTTGACGAGGGCTTGAATGCTCGAGACACGTTTAAAGCTTAAGTTAGCGAGTCTTTTTCATTTTTAGGCTTTAAATTTCACCCATAATTTTTTTTTTTTCTGATGTCATGTGATGGGTCACTTATCTGCAACCTTTGATTACCAAACTTATTTCATTTTAGCTTAATATTTTTGTTCTCATTTTATTCATCTAAATTAATTTTTTTTGGATATTTCACCGAAAAAAATTTCTATTCTTGATTGTTTATCGGATTGTCACTAACGATTGTCGTACACCAACAATACTCTCGTCAATGGATTATTCGTCACTTTTGTTTGCTTGTACATACGTTTGATATGTTTGATAATATATTTTGCTTTACTTTGTTTTTATATGTTTTTATTTGAAAAATATGAACTGTAACTGTTTGTATGGTTATAAAACGATCGCTCTTCAAAATGAGTAAAAATATCTAAGAATGATCTAATTTTTATATGTCATGGCTTATTTTCTTTAAAATATGATACAAAACATTAGTCATCTCATAATCATATGGGTGGCATAGGATTGGATGTGCATTGAGGTAATATTAGGTATTGATTAGATTCACAAGTTCACATATTAATTCTATGAAAACTTATCAAAGTATCGGACACCACTCACTTAAAGGAAAGGATATTAATAATTAAACATAGGAGTACGTGTGGCGCACTCTATTTTTGTTCATTTCTTAGTATCGTGCCATAACCTATTCTAAGAAAGTATATGACAATCTTTCTTTTACTTTAGATTTTTGGTCTCATCATTTTATTTAAGATTTTAATAGAAAAAGGAATGTAGAATTTTGACATAATTTAAATATCGAGCAAATCATGATAATGAGAAAAGAATATGTCCCCAGATGTTACTAAATCCTCTCTATAACAGGGTGATGATTAGGATTTACATATGACCAAAGAAAATAGCAGGAAGTTGTATCGATATTATTTGTGTAAATTTTAATAGAAAGACTATATGATGATTTCCTTCAAAAAGTCTCCTTTTTTTTATTTTTTGTCAGAAAGTTTTCTTGTTTTCCATTTTTCTAGATGGTGCCTCTATTTGCTATAATTATGTAAATATCATTCCTTTCTGTTTTTTGTTCGTCGTCTCCATCACTTTCGTCTCATTGGTGTCGTCCACTCATCACCTTTGCTCCCTATTTCCACTGTGAGGACTTATGCCTCTATGTGATGCCTTCCTGATCCATTACACATGTTGTCTTTATTTACTGGGTACATAATATCACTTTTGTCCCTTCCTTACCCTTCACATATTGTCCATCGCCACAAGGACTTTCCTATTCGGATCACCTTTTCCTTTATGGGTCTTTTCTCGTCCGATGTGCCCATCACATCCACGATTTTTTTTCTCTATGGGGTGAAAGTGATGGGCATGATATACTGGTGAGGGCCTACAAACACAGAGGTGATAGGTACGACATGGAGGCAACAAGCACAATGAGTAGAGAATGGATAGAGGTGGCACAATGAGAATAGGGGGAAGGCATCATTACGATAGGAGCATGATACGAAGATGACAAATGCATTACACATGCATTATGTCTCACAATGGGAGTAGGAGGCGACGGGTGAACGATGTCCGTGAGGCAAAGGTGATGAACAAAGAAGAGGAAGGGAAGGATATTTATGAAAAAATAATTAATAAATATATTATTTGAGGAAAAATAAAATTAAATAATGCTTTCTAGAAAGAAAAAAAATTTCAAGAAACATCCAAGAATAGACTCTCAAAATGTGATAATCGTGGAACAAGTATTTTATTTTTATACAATTCATGGACCTTCTAAATATCAACTTGCATAGATTCAACATGTAGCTATGCACTTTCGCGTGGGGAGTACATCTCATCTCCCTCTCCTTTTAAGCTTTGTTTATTCATGGAGAACAAAAAAGGCAAAAAAAAAGAAAGGGTGAATACAGGACAGAACACTGACTGACATGGGAAATCGTGGCGAGCACTGCGAGTTTTCTGGGAATGGGTGGACGGCCGTAAGCGTGCATGAACACAGTGTGGACTGGCAGATGCCGTTGATCCCGATCTGTTTGCAGGTGAAGTGAATGAAATGAAAGCCTCGGAACTCTCTCGCTCTTCTCTCGATCTGCCTGCTAGTGAAGTGAATGAAATGAAAGCCTCGGAACTCTCTCTCTCTCTCTCTCTCTCTTCTCTCTCCGTGTCGGCTTATGGGCACTTCCAACCTCACCACAGTTACCACAAGGAGGGTGTAAGAGTCATGTAAGAAGAAGAAGAAGAAGAAGAAGAAGAAGAAGAGCCGTTCAATCATTCAGTTCTCATCTGAAGAAGAGGATGAGGAAGTGGTAGAATATGGCTTCAGGTCCAGTAATTACAAAGAATGAAAGAGAGAGGTATTCTATCATCTCCGGTTTATTCTTTTTATTCCAAAAATTATCTTTTGCCTTTGTTCTTGCCAATGCAATTAAAACTAAATACAAATCGACTTAATTACCTGAGTAAAATTTTAAGTTGGTTCTGAAGCTTTGTGTGTGTGTGTTTCAAATAGGTTCTTAAATCACACTAGTGCTTGATGATGGCTTGCAAACTCGCTTGAAACCTATATGGCAGCTTATGGATTTGCATGCATGCTTTATCTTATTTAAAATAAGATAAATATTTCCACAAAACATCATCATTACTTGATAATCTATGCACGATCTTAATCTTACATAACCTATCTAAATGCAATCGCCATTTCCACATCATCTCGAGCATGTATTATTGCTCACCCTTACCATTCACTTGGTTTCCCACCAAAGCCCTGTGCGAAGCTTCACGTTCGATGTCTTTATAGGCTATTGACTATACTACTACTTGTTCACCTCTTACCTGATCAGATGCAAGTGTGGCGTCAACAAAACCTAAGCCTACGTCTCTAAGATAGGAGGAAGCTTGGATAACACCGTGGTTGTGAGAGTTGGGTCCACGTAGGTGGAATCAAGTAAAATGGGCGTCAATTCGAGATGTCAACTCCCACCAGCAAATGGATATTAAGCAACCACACAAAAATCTATACGTGACATGGAGATTCTCTATGACTGCTAAGAACGACGCTCTCCATTGCCATCGTTAAGAGTATCATGTCTTGAATGAGTTTATGTTGGTCAAACACTATGTTTTCTTTTTCTGGCAATTAAAATGAGGATTATGAGAACTCTTTGCGTTGGTCGCTTAGCTAGCAAGTTTCTATCAAAGGGGAAGAATGAGTTTAGTCAAAGGTGACGGGAGCAGATTCCGATGGACGAGAGGTTGACTGACGTGATTCCGATGGTGTTGTCTGTCAAGAGTTAGTCTCGTAGCTTCTTGCGGTAAGCCTGCTTATGATACGCCGTATGAACAGGTTTCACATGCATGAATCCATGGAATTTTAGAGCTCGAGAGAGAGACACCAAGGCGAGAGGGGCATGCTCCGTCCGCCATGGGGCTGGGGCTGGGGCTGGGGAATGAGAACTGCTTCGGGTTCAAGGAACGGTGATTGAGGGCCTTGTCGTAGCCTGCCAGTCGCAGTGAAGGCCGGCATTCATGGTTTGATCTGTTCTGAATGATATGTTGTTCTCTCTCTTCCCCTCTCCCTCGTCCTGTGGGCATTCGATGCTGTGTCGGGACTCGTGACGATGACGTGGTGTTCCCACTCTCTCTCTCTCTCTCTCTCTGTCTCTCTCTCAGATCCAGCAACGCAATAAATCGAGTGATGGGCAGGCCAACAGATACACCAGAGGGAGAAGAGGTGGAAACATAGAGCGGTTGACCAAATCCAGCACCCGACCGTTCATTTCATTAAAAGAAGACCAGAGCATCAAAGTCATAGATAACCAGGAGGAGCCATGGAACGGCTAGATAAAGAGGGAGACAACTGTCGTGGTCTTCTCTTTGTCTCTAATTATGGGGGAGGAATCAGGACAAAGAGCAAGATAGCTTTGCATAAGCGGCGGCGGCGGCAGCAGCAGCGGCAGCAGCACTGAGGTGGGTTATCCTGTACTTGCTACATGGCCCCTTCAAATGAACGAGGAGCCACCTCTGGTTGATTGTCGATGTACTGAAAACCTGTGAATCTGCACTTCTGGAGCTTTTTTGGATCGTCTCTCCTTTGGGGACCCTTCGGCAGTGCAACTGGTACTGCTTGTTTGGAGTTTCATCTGTTTCGCCGGCCCTTCGGGTGTTTGGTTTAGGTGCTCTCTCTCTCTAGTTTCCACCTCTGACCCTAGTAGAGATTGGATTCTGTCTCCTTCGTGTCACCAGATCTGAGAGAAGCAACCAAGAGAAAAGGGAACGCGGCACTGATTGATCTTCACCACAAAGAATGTGAAGGGGAAAAGCTGGAAAGATGATGGTTATCAGCAGAGAGTAGGAAGTTGATATAGTGTTTCTTTCTTTCCTCTTTTATAGATAGCCTTCTCTTTTTCTTCTTCGAATATTGGGCTCATACTTGACTGAAGAGCTGGCGAACCGGTGGTGGACCGGAGCTGCGGCGATGGGAGGGGCCAATCTCGGCGTCACCTCTGCGACCTCGGCTCCTTCCCTCCATCTCCGCAACACCAACAGCGCCGACGACCACTGCAACCTCCACTTCAGCAGAAGAGAGCAAGAGCTAACCACCACCAACAGTAGTGGCAGCAACAACCACCTCAACGACGACGACGGCCATGCCGACGTCCAGTCCGCAGGCGGCCTTGAGGTGGTCGAGGCTGGCGCAGGAGGTGGAGCGAGCGGCAATATCACTGGCAGGCGCCCGCGTGGCCGGCCGCCTGGGTCCAAGAACAAGCCGAAGCCACCCATAATCATCACGACAGAAAGCCCCAGCGCGCTCCGATCGCACGTCCTCGAGATCGCGGGCGGGACAGACATCATGGACGCCGTGGCGACCTTCGCTCGCCGGAGGCAGTGCGGTGTCTGCATCTTGAGCGGCCGTGGGGTCGTCACCAATGTCACGCTTCGACAGCCAGGTGCACCGCCGGGGGTCATCGTCCTCCATGGCCGCTTCGAGATCCTCTCTCTTTCCGGGGCGTTCCTTCCGGAGCCATCCCCACCTGGGGCAACCGGGCTCACGATCTACTTAGCCGGCGGCCAGGGGCAGGTGGTGGGAGGTAATGTTATGGGCGAATTGGTTTCATTAGGCACCGTGATGGTGATCGCAGCCACATTCTCGAACGCCACGTACGAGCGTCTACCCCTCGAGGAAGAAGAACCCGCGGCAGCGGGAGCTCCGCCAGGCACAGAGGCAATTAAGTTGCAGCAGAGCCAAAGGGGCGATGGAGGTGTGTCGACGCCGCTGTACAATCTACCGCTGAATCTTTCCCCTAATGGTGAGATGTCCATTGAGGCTTTCGGCGCTTGGGCGTCTGCTGCAACTCCTCAGCCGCCACCATCCTACTAAGTCTCTTCTCTTCATCTATGTTTGGCTACTGTTTCTGATAACTACTTATGCTTCTACTGTTCGTCGTCATTGCGCATGCGCGTTCTCTTTCTTCTGTGAACATATTTGTTAGCTGCAGTTTGATCATTCTCAGCAGCTTGTGGTTTTAATACCTACTTTCCACCTTTGTTATCTTCCTGACCTATCTGAGGTTATTTAGTAAGCTAGCATGAAACATACTATATATTTGTCTTTCTGCAGTTATACTGCACTGAAGATGGAATTTTATTCTTCTCTCAAAAGGAAAAAAAACACAAGTTCTGATCATTTGTTCATTCATAACTTTGGACTGACTACATATTGCTTTAGCTTGCTATAGTCTTTGTCTTATGGTCTTTAGATTGTAGTCTTGCTGCTCATTTAGCAGTTTTCTTGAAGGGAAGATGTTCTTTGCCTGAATGTTCATTGTCATTAATGTTGTTTCTTCTTTTCATTATTTGTTAAGAATTCTCTTCCAATTCCCATATGACTTGCTTCTGTCATGTTAATATATACTCTTGCCTTTTATTTGTACACTAACCAAAACCTGTGGATAGTTAAATACTCTATTGATGCTGCTGGCTTTCTGATATTAGATACTCAGAGCTTCATTCTAAAAAGACAAGCAAATTGCAAGGTAATCTCTGTCCTGCTTGATAGACACAGCTCAGTTGAAGATGATGTTGCTTTGAGGCACACAATCTCTGTACGTAAATTGTGTGCACAGTTATGGATTATTGCTCAAGGGAAACAATTTTGCTCATGGCTTATCATGACTAGGGTTTCGATTCGGTCAAAGTTCTCTTACTGCCAAGCATTAGGTTTCTGAAGTTTGAATCTTAGATTATTTCAATGTAAGAGAAACTTATGCATATATGTAGCAACCTCAATTTTGTTTGTTTTGAACTTTGGTTTGGGTTTAGAATCTGTTCAAAAACTTTGCTATTTATTATCGTCGGAATTGATTTCTAATGAAATCTGAAATAATGCACATCTTAAATTGTTAAATGCGGATTCGGTCAAATTCATTGATGTTAGTATTGTTAAATCTTTACCTAAAAATGTAGTCTTATTTGACTGAATTGTGTCATATTGCTAAATCATTCTTTTGCAGATAAAGAATTCCCGGAAAATTTGTTCTTCCAAAGATAGTGATAATGGCCATTCAAATAACTTCAAAATAAGCATTGTGCAGTTGTAAGACCAAATCTTACACCAATAATGGATATTTTTCATTCTACTTTGAGATCCACTGCTTCCATTTTAGTCAAAAGCTCTGACTTTTTGAGGTAACTTCATTCTCTTGTAAGGGTTGGCACAAAATTTTTCTTTCAACTTGAAGCCAACTCTTCTAAGTTTTTTGGGTGTGTTAGAAGATTGCTGCACTTTCAGCATTATTGCTACCCTGAATTCATCTGCTTAAATATCACTGCAACTACATACATTGAGCTAATAAAGCACTAATGATGTGAAATCTATGTATTGTGCAGTATACAGACCTCAATTTTCTTAGATCTCTCTTCCTTTCAACATTTTGTTGTTTCTTTTTCTTATATGTTTCTCATGAGATAGATTCCATTTGTTTGTACTTCGATATGCATCTTCTTAGATTTAATTTGCTGGTGACACACATTTCCAGTTTCATATATACCAATGCACTGCCAACCCTAGACACTCATTTCAGATGCATCACTGAAAATAATAGTATTACATCAATATGGATTCCCAAAGTTGAGTACAGCGCAAGATTTTGTTTTGTTTATTCTTTAGAAAATGTTATTGTCATCGCCGGTTGCAATATCAAGTGCTAATTTTCGTATTCTTTCTGAGATTAGTTCATGCATAGTTTCGATATCGATATGGGTGTCTATCATCTCCAGTGCTTTACTCTTATGTTGATGATCATCAAATTCAGAATTCAGGATTGATGCTTGATTATTCTGTGCCTGAATCTTTTTTCCTCTATTGGTAATCAAAGATCAACACAATAATCATTCAAAATTATCAGTTTAATGCATGGATGTTGTTAGCATGCCTGTGTTGGACTTCCAGTTCCATCTTTGGATGATTTGCTTTTACTGACAATGCCTCAAGAACAATTCTTCTGTTCTTTCATGAGCTTGAGATCATGATCGATCTTGTAAAAGCTTGTGAGCATCCAGTTTCGGGTCATACATCAGGCATTACTGTAGTCTTCATTTGGGAAGACAAAGTCTCAGTCAGCTGCCATTGTTTCCTTTGGAGATTCCTTTAGCTCCTTCCTCCTTCTCATATTTCAGTCAAACATATGCAAAAGGTTTGGTTCAATTAACATCATTTGTTGATTTGGTTAGAATAATTAAGCACCAACTTGTCACCTTCCATGATCACTACAGTGCTAAAGGATTCATGCAGTGAAATCCTTTCCTATATTTTATTCTCATGATTGGCTTGTTCATGTGTGCATATAAAGCCATGTATATAGTCCACTTCAGGAAGAGGTTATAACCCATTTGCCTGTGACTAGTACACAATCTCTTAAAATCTTCTCTTAAATGAGCTCATTTATGACTTGATCAAATTACAAACTGTGCAATCAGTCTTCTCTTAAATGATCTAATTTGTTCTGCAATCTTGTAATAGTTTGTAGTAAACCTATGCAAATAATGATGGTGGATTAATGGCCTATTTCCTCCTCCAAAGTGTCATCCTTTTTGTGCCTTGAGCTTGCTCGACTGGAAAGGTTGAAGGATGAGCTCAGGTACTTTGTTGAGCTCCAAGTTGCCTGCCATTTCTATGGAGGTCATTGGCTTTGCAACTTCTCCACCAGGTGCACAGTTAAGATCTGGATCAGCAAACAGCTGCTCTTCTAATCCATGGCACAAGGGTTTGACCTTGTTTGATTCAGAATCATCAACCGAGGAGGATGATCACTTCATTCTGTGCTTACAGACTTGGGTGTAGGATCTGCTCATTCTTTGCAGAAAGTTAGTATAATGTAGCGACGAGTTATGCTTCTTTGGCTGTGCCACATAGAAGAAGTCAGAGATGTGCTATCGAGGAGCTACTAAGTCGTACGTGAACTCGATGTCTCAGATTGGTTTGTATCGGTGAGATGAACTCAAGCTTAGGAGCTTCGATCCGCCTCCTGCGGAAGCAGCTTGAAGAAGGTGAACTCTATGGTAAGAGAGATTGCGTCAAAGGTGATCGGAAAATATATTTTTCTTTCCACACCGCATCCAAAACATTAAAGTTAGAGCAGTCGATCCTTAATTTCCAAGTATTTCATTTTACTGAAAAGAAATTTTCTTTACTTATTCAACGGAGAACCAAAAAAAAAAAAACCCTAAAAATTGAGCATCACTCTTCTTAGGAAAAAACAAAGATTTGCTCTGTCTAACATATCTCTGTATCGTTCCAATTTTATCGGATGTCTCCCAAAAAATCTCAATCTAACATGCTTGGTCAACCGAATGACTGTTTCATTTTATTTTCTAAACACATAGGTAATAATATATATATCAAAATTATCCAAGAAACCCTAGAAACTATGCATAATACTCCGCACCATCAAGAACAGTGAATCAAATTCAATATGCATATGTCTGAATCTAGCCGATACCACCTGTTGAATCCCAAAAGCAAAATCTTCGCCTCCCCATGATCAAGAACAAAACCTAAACCTCCAATCCAGTCCCCTCGCACGGAATCATCACAATTCAATTTGAGCATTTAAACAAATAAATATCACCTCTCAGTTGTACTCCCTTGAGAAACTAAGAAATATTTATAGATATTGGAGGGCCTTCAAAAGACTATATTTATCTTTATAAATATTTTTATGAACGAAATACAAATAAAGAGGCTTTAATTACCCGACACCATAAGAGTCTTTATATATATATATATATATGATCTCTGATTTCTACTCGTACTAGATTGGTTAATCTGATCCAGTTTAGAGAATAATACATATCAAGATGGCGGCCTATCACCTCAACTTTGTGGCTTCACTGGGGTTGTGTTTGGCTGTTGGTAGGATTGCTTGGGATGATGGTGGGTGCACTCAGGGTGCACTAAGATTGCTTGGGAGCAGTCTTCATCACACATAGGAGATTGTTGTGTTGGGTGCATGAGAAAATAAATTGGAGAAAAAAAAAAAGAAATGTTCTTCTACGTGTTGGACTTCTCCAATATATTGAACGGTTATTAATGAACTTCTTCTTCTATAATGACATAAATAATAAGCTAATACATATGATAAATTGGGACAGTATTTATAAACCAAAAGATGAAGGGGGGTTAAACCTGAGAAATACTAGAGATTGAAATAAAACATGTCTGGTACATGAAATCTTTTACAAAACAAATATTCCTTATAGTTAGCTTTTCGTTTTTTATTATGGAGAAGACTTGGAAGCTAAGGACCCGTTTCGCATTACCTTAATATAATTGTGATGTTTCAATTATTTAAGATCGACCTATGTTAATCTTTGCACAAATTCTTTTTAGGTTTAAAGATTTAAAGATTTCTTCAAGTATATTCAATATAGTTTTAGATTATTCTTCCTCAATTTTAATTTTTATCAATGTTATAAAAAATATCGACAATGACTATATCAATCTAACTTGGTTCAATCGATGGACTCGAGAAGGTATCGAATAGTTATCAAATGTCCACCTATAAAAAAGATAAGATTGGTCGTAAAAATATTTCACAAGAGAAAGGATACTCTTTGAAATATTTTTTGAATTTCTATTCACATAATGATTAATCAACAGTATATTTTCTATGGACATCTAACACCCATTATATCGACCCATTATTCATAGGAATGTGGCCCCATTGACATCTAACCATGTCATGTCGGCATGAGACAGCGTCTTATTTGCCAACATTTACGGACAAGCATGTTTCTATTCACACAACAAAGTCCGCCGCCCGTACGATACGGTCACATTGCCTTTACCTCACTAGTATTTATTATAAGTGCATCGATCCCTACCGAAAGAGACCTTCGAGGTCATTGGAGTTCCACTCAACGTGATGCAACCCGTCTCCGAGTCTAATATCTTCTGTAGCATAAAATTCTTTAACCTGCATGATTACGAGCATTTAGTAGATTAAGAAAAATATTCTATCGATAATTATATTATAACGTAGGCGATTGAGTCAGGATTTCGAATCTAATCAAGATTCACTTTGGCACTTGTCATACGTACAAGTGTAAAGAAAAGAGGGTCGATAGTTGATCACCACCCGATAAAAATATTTTTGATGCTTAAATTAAATTTTG